AGAAGGAGGAGGAAAGCAGCATGACTGGAGACCATGGTGCAGTGGAGTTGTCACTGACCTAGGAACCCTTGTTTTCAATCCCTGTCCTTGTCTATGTGACCTGCTTTGGGACAGGGCTTCCCTTCATCTCTCCATGACCTTGAGATCTGCAAGACAGGGCTAAAGATGTCCAAAAATATCTTACACAAGTGGTAGATTTAATGAAAAATGGAGTTTTGGTCAAAAGCTTCCCCCACTCCTTTCCCCCTTGCCAAAAAACCAAACAAAAAAAGTATCTCGTTAAGTTTAATCCAATGCTGACAATTTTGTCATTTCCTTAATCACACCTCAGCAATCTATGTTTCATAACAAGATTTTTTTTGTCATTTAAGAGCTGACCTGAGGAGGCAGCAAGCAATAACTTGAAAAGGAAGCAAAACTTTTCACTTCAGATTGACTGAAACATTGCTGGCTGACTCCAGAACACTTTTTTTCAGGGGGAGCAGGGATGTTTTCTATTTTATTTCACCAACAAACCAGGCATAATTTTATTCCCTTCTATGCTTTTTCCAGTTGTTTGCTTCAGGCAATGAGCTCCCAGCTGTATGGATGAGCTGGGACAGAACAGGTCCTCAGCTGCCAGGGTGTTGGGCTCTACATCGTTTACCCTGGCTGTCCTGAGGGCAGACACGGATCATGCTGGGACAGACACTGATATTCCTGTTGCCTCAGTTTCCCAATCTGTAGTGTGGGGCTAAAACTACAAAGAGCCAATAATTGCCTTCCATGATTGCTGAGGGGCTATTTAATTAGCCTCTGCAGTGCTTTGAAGATGAAAAACTCTGTGCAAGTGCTAATTATTATTATTATACAGACAAGAGTTAGACGTTGTTAGCAGGTTTTTTTCCCCCTTCTCCTTTTTATGATGTCTTATTTATCACAGATATTCCTGATATGGTTCCTCTGAGCCACTGGCTTGTTAACATTTCTCATACGGGACCCACATGAATCATCTAGCTGTAGAAATGGAAAGTCTGGCTCGTTTCAGAAAGCTTCGTTGTCTGTTGAAACACTATTCCATGACATCCTTGAGCAAAGACACTCCAAACCTGCTGCTTTCCCCTGTCTGAGACCCTCTGACACAGCAGAGAAGGAAGTTGTGGTAGTCACTTCAGTCCAGCAGTGCATTTGTCACGTGGAAGGGGGAGACTGTGCATGGAGAAGTTGACAGGATCAGTCGAAGTGGAAAATGTAGATATTAATTTCTGAGCTAGGTACATAGATACCACCTGCAATCGAGGTGTAAGAACAGAAAATTTCACACCCGTTTTATCATCTTATGGGACATCCCATCCTTGATGTTTGAAATTGCTCAGATGATTTTATTCTTCTCATGCTCCTGTTCTGCGTAAAAGCTTCCTTGTGAAGAACTGTCAGCTTTACTGAGGTCAGTGCAAAGACTCACATTGTCATCACTGGGCTTTGAATGGAGCAGAGCCTGCTTTGTCATCAGTTGTCTTATTGCCCAAGTGCAGGCTTCTAGTGGTGTAACAGGAGATTTGGTCCCTTTTTGTTAATAGACCCACTGAAGAAAGCATTTGAAACTTTGGGCCAGAACTACTGTCCTGTGAACAGTGACACTGGTTTATGGCTCAGTTTCTGCTCCTTGAATTTCTGCTGTCCTTGGCATGCTCCTCAGCCAGTTTTCAGAAGCTTATTGACAAAGTCCCTTTTTCTCTACAGGTGCCAGATGGATCTGTGGTAGCTTTAGTCTCCAAGCAAGTCACTGCCTACAATGCAGTCAACAACTCCACGGTCTCCCGGACCTCAGCCAGCAAGTACGGTAAGGGCTTGTGTGCTGATACGGATTGAGAAGGCACTGGAGGAGAGGTCCCAAATGTCACGGTGGTTACAAGACACTGAGCACCAGCAGAGAGCATGATAGGCAGACGACTAGTTGGTGTGATTGCTTGAGGAATGGCAGGAGGAAAGGATTTTGTCATCTAAAACTTAGGCATCCGGTCCAAGCTGCTGGTCCAAGTGGTTGGATTGCTCTTAGGAAGTACTTCTCCTGCCTCATTAACAAAAGGAAGAACCTATATAATTAGCTGCCTACATTTTAGATCACTGAATCTCACTCTTAGAGTTTGCACAGGGCAAGGGGGAAGCATGGCACACCGTATGGACTCAGTCGTTCTGGTGGGCAAAGTCCTTGGAGCATGGTCTGTTGTGAAGACGAATCTGTGGCACAGATGAGAGGCCTCTGGGACTAAAAGCAGCCACAACCTACGTAGGGCATAGCCTGTCTACAGTTATATCTCATTGTGGGTGTTGAGTGTCCCACACAGCTATCTTATTATTCCAAGGGGATTTGCACCTGGAATAATAATAAAAAATGGCTTACTGAGTTCTTATATCAGTATATCTCAAGGCAGTGGATTGTTGTTCCCACTTTACCCATGAGAAAACTGAGAATGAGATAGCTGTGAAATAGAGACCAGGTGGAAATTCTTCTGTAGAGCCAAACAGAGACTTGAGTCTCACTCACACCATCACACACCTTTCTCCCCTGCGCTAGAATTGCAGCCCAGGACATGTCTCACTATGGTGATGCTGGAGGGCAAAGCAAAACATCTCTAATGTGCAACCAGAGTTCTGAAAAACCACTCTCCAACTTGGATGCAGCTGTCATATCATTTTGTTATTATTTTTTAATTTCTGAAAGCATCTCTGATCCTACTTAACTCCCTTTAGCTTGAGGGAAAGTGCAGTTACTCAATGTCCAGAGGAGCCCCCTTCCTCTTTCTCCAAGGACATAAGCAATCCACCAGACCTTATTAATATTCATTCTCTTTGCCATGTTGTTGCAATTACTGAAAGACACAGTGACCTTTGAAAGGGAAGACTTGAGGGGGGTTAATTTCTGTTGGATTTCTTTAATTCTTTTGCCATTTGATTTTTCAGGAGGAGGGAGTGGGGAAGAATGCAGGGGGAGGAGAAGATGTGGTGGGTCAGAAGTGATTGTTAATTGCAATTAAGAAAACAGCATCCAGAGAGAAAAAGGATATTCCATCTGATAATTAATATGTAGAGATTGGTAATGCATTAATGAGGCTGATTCAGATCTTGCTACAGAAAGGTGCAACACTTCTGTTAATTATGGTTGGAAAATACTCTATGCAGCATTGCTGGAAGGTCAGGGAGAGGGGAATGCCTCATGCCATCACTCAGAGGCAAAGGAAAGTAAAATTTGGAGGCTAAATGTGTTCTTGGAGAGGAAATTTGTGCAGGCCCACCTGCAGTTCTGGTTTACTTTCTGTCAAAACAAGATTTTGGACCAGGGAGTGACGAAGACGGCTGGGCAGGAGTTATTGGATTGCTTTGATGCCAAAGAAGGGGGGGAAGCAGCTCCTCCTAAGTCTGGGGATGGGGAGCTAGGCAAAAGGTCATGTTAGCTACGTCAATATACTGTGCTAAAAGGCCATGGCCTGCTTTCTGGCCTTAACACCAAGCAGCATGGCATGGTTTGGCCAACATCCATACAGTTAAAACAAGTTGTACTTGTCCATACTGGTTACGATGAGTAGCTGGTACTATCCCTTGAATCAGTCCTGGGCAGCGTCTGACACTGACAGGGCTAGTTGTTCCAGGCCAAAGCTTTGCCAGGGAACATGATAAGAGGTAAAGAGCATGGGCAACTGGAAGTCAGTGTTTGAGCCTTGTTTAATTTAACAGTGTAGACATTTACATCATCTCTGGCTTGGTATCATCCCTTGTCTTTGCAGAGCAAATCACTCAGCCATAAGATAATGCTTTGATAATAAGGCCTGGTCCATACAGCTGCTTTGAGAGCTTCTCTGTCTCGCATTGTAATT